GAGTCACCTCATGTGCTCTTGCGGCCAAGAGCTTGGCTTTGATTTGGCAATGTCACGGCAGGAGCACTGGGATCTCCTCCCTCAGGATCCCATTCCTGACTCGCATGTCCCACTGTCATCAGCACGCTCCTGTTCCGCTCTGCTCTGAGCTGGCATTGTGGCACCTTTGGAGCTGGGACCATGCCCTCACCCCTGCCTTGCTGTGCACCCCATCAGCACCCTGCACACCCCACCACCAGCACCCTGCACACCCCACCACCAGCACCCTGCACACCCCACCACCAGCACCCTGCACACCCCACCAGCACCACGCAGACCCCACCAGTGCCCTGCTCCCTCCCGCTCTCCCTGATTTTATCATTTCTGTGCTGCTCTGGGGAGTTTCTATTCTTTGCACTGCATGACCTGCCTGCCCTTGACTCCCAGGTAGCCCTGGTGTTCAGTTCCCTTTTCCAAACATCCTTCCACAGAGGCTGCTCTCCCACCGCGCTCCCATCCTTGTGGCATTTGCTGAGGAGGGGGAGCTGAGCAAACCAAACAAATCCAGCAAATATCGCTTGGAAAGGGGAACTAACACGCTGTGCACAGAGCACCGGGAATAACCTCAGTGCCTGTCCTTCCCCTGACCCCTCCTGCCGCACGTCTGCTCCCCCCAAGCCCCCCGCACACCTACGGAGCAATAAGCGCTTGAGCTCTGCTCCTCCCTAGAAAAACAACCAGAGGAGCTTCCCAGAGGAGCTGTTTGCTCCACACCGCTTCCCCACGCTGCGCTTTGTGTTGAGCAAACACAAGGGCAGCCTAAAACAAGTCGGATTTCTCTTTGCCTGGGGAATGCTGCAGGTGCGGACACACCTATAACCCTCACACCCCGTGGGTCAGTCCCGCTGTACGAGGAGGGTGTTGGTGTTTATTGCCCTTTTCCCAGCTGCCCACTGGCATGGACTTTGCTCCTCCGGGTTGGGATTTCTGAGCGGCGGGAGGCTTTCCACGTGTGTTTGAGAAGGTACAAAGCCTGCCGGAAAACAATGGAAATAGCTGCCTTATGACTGCTGCGTGTCACGCACTCGCTTCTCGCCCGTTGGTTTGTCCTTGGAGCCGCTCGCACCGCCTGGAACCTGATCCCGAGCGGTGCCGGGCGTTCAGGCTGGCACGCACACGGCTCTGCCGTGTCATGTGGGAGAGACACGGCTGTGCTCCGACCCCGCTCAGCCCACCGGAGTCCCGAGCCACCACGGATGTGGTGATTTTGTGTGGGCTTCCTGCTGGGAGGAAACAGCTGCTCAGAGCAGAGTGTGGTGGGAGCAGTGTCTCCCGTGCTCTGCTTCCCACAGGGCCCCAGCCTGGGAGCGTCCCAGCTGGCAGCAGCACGGCCCCTGCCAGGCTCTCCATTCTGCCAGAACAGAGGCTTCTCACCCCCATGACTGGATCTCCTCAGACCCCCAGAACAGGCTCCCTTCAGCCCCCGCAAGGACAGACTCTCATCAGACTCCCCAGGACTGGATCCCCTCCTCTACACTCCAAGGACAGGCTTCCCTCAGTTCCCCCAGCACAGGCTCCCTCAGTCCCCCAAAGGACAGGGTGTGTGGTGTCCACTCTTCCCAGGACTGGAACCCTTCACCCCACACCCTTTCAAGCACAGGCTCCCCTTATCCCCCCCCCGGACTGGATCCCCTCATCCACTCCCCAGGACAGGCTTCCCTCAGCCTTTCCCAAAGACAGGATCCCCTCAGCCCCCCATCAGAGGCTCCTCTCTGTCCAAGCTCCCCTCAGCTCCCCAAGAACAGGATCTCCTCCATTTCCCCAGGACTGGATCCCCTTCACTTCCCCAGCACAGGCTCCCCTCAGTCCCCTCAGGACTGGATCCTCTCATCCACCCCCCTTCAGCCTCCCTAAGAACATGATTCCTCCAGTACTGGATGCCCTCAGGTCCCTCTGGGACAAGCCCCCCTTCAGCCTCCCCAAGCATAGGATCACCTCCATTTCCCCCAGGATTCAGGCCCCCCAGCACAGGCTCCTCTCAACCTTCACAAAGGACAGCATCCCCTCTCTCCAAGCTCCCCTCAGCTCCCCAAGAACAGGATCACCTCCATTTTCCCCAGGACTGGATCCCCTTACCCCCACTCCAGGACTGGATCCTCTTCACCTCCCCCCAGTACAGACTCCCCCCAGCTCCTCCAAGCACAGAATCCCCCCGGTTATGGATCCCCTCAGCTGGTCCCTCTGGGACAGGCTCCCGTCAGTCCCCCCGGGACTCGATCCCCTTATCCGCTCCCCCAGCAGAGGGGCCCCTCAAGCACAAAATCCCCCCAGGATCAGATCTCCTCAGGTCCCTCTTGCCAGGCTCCCTTTCAGCCCCCCTAAGAACTGGACACCTCCCGGACTGGATCCCTTCAGGTCCCTCTGCCCAAGCCTCCCTTCAGTCCCCCCTCAGCGGGCACAGCCGGGGGGGGGGCTGGGATGCAGCAGCCACCGCTCCCTCCCTCCATCTCCCCCTCCTCTCTCCATCTCCCCCTCCTCTCTCCCTCCCTCCATCCCCGGCCGCTGCGTGCCTGCCGCCTGCCTTCCCCCTTCCCTCCCCCGCCGCCAGCCCGCGGTGATCCGCTGATCTCATGGCCGCGCCTCACGACACCCTTCCCCGGCACGTCAGCCCCGCCATCGCGTGAGAGCCGCCGGGCGCCCCGCCCGCGCCCCCCCCGCCGCCGCCATCACGCACGGCGGGAACAGATGCCGGCAAGGCGCTGCCGGAGCCCGCTGCAGACCCCGCGCCATCAAAGGCGGGCCCTCGCCAGCTCCTATTAATGCACAGCTTAATTAATGACCCCCGCGGGGGGCGAGCCGCCCTTCACACGCAACACACACACACACACACACACAGAGACGCACACAGACACACACAGAGACACACACACAGACACGGCCTGCCGGGGGAGCACGAAGAGGTTAATGCAGGCGGGGGAGCGGGGCAGGAGGCGGCCGCGGCTGCCAAGGCGGGGATTAGCGAGGCTCGGAGCTCGGCACGCAACGTGGGACGGGGCACGGCGGCGACACACGCGAGGGACCGCCGGGGACACGCGTGGCACGGAGCCCGGGGGGGCGAGCGGGGCACCGCTCTCCGGCCCCTCGCCCCCGCAGCCCTCCTGCCGCAGCACCTCCTCACACGATTTGCCTCTTTCCCCCCTAAAACTCACCGCCTTCATCGATCCACCGCCCTACTCAGACACAATTTCCACCAATCCGACCCCCTACGCCTGCAGTTTTCCTTTTGTGCCAGTGAAATTTTCCCTCCCTCAACCCACCCCCCCGACTTCGCATCCCTCTGTTGTGACAGCACCTTCTCATCCAATTTACCTTTTTTTTTCTCCCTAAAACTCACTATTTTCTTCAATTGAACCCCCCACTGATGCAATTTTCCTTTTATTCTGGTAAAATTTTCCTTTCCCCCTTAAGACTCACCACCACCTTTGAACAACCCCCTCATTCATGCAATTCTGCTTTTTCTCCCACTAAACCTCAATTTTCTTCATTCCAACCCCCTACTCATGCAATTTTCCTTTTATTCCAGTAAAATTTTCCTTTCCCCCCGCCATAAAATTCACAATTTTCTTCAATCCAACACCCCTACTCACAAAATTCCCCCTTTTTCTTCCAATAAAAGTCACTATGTTCTTCAACCCCCTACTCATGCAACTTCCCTTTTTTTTCCAATAAATTTTTCCTTTTCTCCTCTAAAATTTACTACTTTCTTTAATCCAGCCCCTGTTTTCCCCCCCTTCATCCCCCAACCTTACTGATGCTTCACCCTAGACACTGAACCTTCACAGCTGTGACCGAGTCGTGCATAAATTAAATCAAGGTCACCCCGTTTTTTTGCCATGGCCTGTTCCCAGTTTTTCGTGGGTATCCCTAAACTGTGGTTTTGCGGATGCATCATTTTGTATAAGGCTTGTAGGGAATACTTTGAGCACCTAGGGAATGAGTTGGGTGTATAAGAATTGCCTTGGATGTACAGAAAATGCTTTGGGGATAGAGGAATTGCTTTGGGGGTGTAGAATTTGTTTTGGGGGTGTAGGAGTTACTTTGGGGATGGAGGAATTGCTTTGGGCAGGCTGGAAATTTGGGGACGGAGCAGATGGTCCCTGCCGTGCCATAAGGCTGAGTCCTAACAGCAGCTCGGTTGTGAAGGAAACAGGAGCCCACCAGCAATGGAAAGAAGGGCAGAATGTGGAATGAATCCCACTGCAAACTCCCGCCTCTCCCTCCCATCTCTCCCTGATTTATTCATTTTTATGGCCGCGCTCCAGTGGATCCCGTCGGGAGCTGGCGGCGCGCGGGCGGTTCATCCCGAGGTTGAGCTCGTGCCTCGGGTGTGACACGCGGATGACCCTGGTGGCATGGATGAATTTGGGGGCTTGGGGCTGAATTTGGGGGCTCAGGGATGGCTGTGGAGTGTCACAGGGGGCTTTGGGGTGTCAGGACTGAATTTGGGATGCCAGGGGTGGCTTTGGCATGTAGAGAATGTTTTTAGGGTGTCAGGGGGGATTTTGGGGAGCCAGGCCTGAATTCGGGATGTCAGGGGTGGCTTTGGCATGTCAGAGATGTCTTTGGGGTTTCAGGGATGGCTTTAGGGTGTCAGGGCTGGATTTGGGATGTCAGGGACTAATTTGGGGTGTCAGGGCTAAATGTGGGGTGTCAGTGCCGAATTTGGGGTGTCAGTGCCGAATTTGGGGTGTCCGGGCTGGATTTGGGGTGTCAGTGCCGAATTTGGGGTGTCCGGGCTGGATTTGAGGTGTCAGTGCCGAATTTGGGGTGTCCGGGCTGGATTTGAGGTGTCAGTGCCGAATTTGGGGTGTCCGGGCTCGCCCCCCCTCACCTCACGCCCGCCGTGCCGCGCACGCGCCGTTGCCGCGGTTACGGGGACGCCGCGGTGACAAGATGGCGGCGGCGGCCGCGCCCCCCCCGCCGCGCTCCCCCCGCCCCTCACGGGTCCCCCCGCACGGGCCCCCGGCCCGGCCCGAGCCCCCCGGCCCCGGCAGCTCCCGGACCCCGCCGCGGGGCCTGCGGCAGCACATGGAGCGGCACGTCCCCGTCCACGCGCTGCCCGAGGAGATCCGCAAGGTACGAGCTGTGGAGATGGCAAAACCCCCCGACGTTTGGAGAGCAGCTCCCGCGGGAATTCAGGGGTGTTTCACTGGCCTGGGGGCACTGGTGCGTTGTCTGGTACACGGTGGTCCTGAGTTAGGGGGGGTGTTGGGTTTCATCACTCTCTGTGCAGTGGAACGACACTAATTCTGTGGGAGCCCTGCAGAGGAACACCTTGGTCTGCCATGGTGTTGTCACTGCAGGTGAGGCCCAGAGAACACCTCTGTCCCTCCGGGTGAGTCTCAGGAACACCTCAATCACTGCAGGTGAGTCTCAGGAACACCTCAGTCACTGCAGGTGAGTCCCAGAGAACACCTCCCTCTGTCCTGGTGCTTTCACTCCAGGTGAGTCTCAGGAACACCTCAATCACTCCAGGTGAGTCTCAGGAACACCTCTCTCTGTCCCGGTGTTGTCCCTCCAGGTGAGTCCCAGAGAACACCTCTCTCTGTCCCAGTGTTGTTCCTCCAGGTGAGTCCACATTTTCCCCTGTTATGGCATGTTTTCCTGCCGTGAGTTTGGAATGACTGAGGGCATAACATGTTCCAAAGGAGTATCAACACAAACGGGAACAGAACATTCCCCTTCATCTTCCCAGGGATCTGCTCTTGGTGTGTTCTTTTGTTTGGCAGGCAGATTATTGCCAGTGTTACAGTGCTGCTGTCTGTGTGGGTTCATTTAGGAGGAGGCTCCACTCAAGTGGAACACGAGTCACTTCTTGTAACACTATCGGGTTTTTAGTTCAGCAATAAAACACCCAGCTGTCCTCATTTCTTGGTCTGCATCTCATAATTAACAAGTCATTTAAAAGCTTTGTGTACTCAGGCTGGAGAAATCCTTCCTGGAGTAGTCCAGGAAACTGTTGAGACAATTTCTGAGATGATTTCTGAGAATTCAAGGGTGGGTAAGATAGACAATGGAAGGGAAAAGGAATATTTGCCCTTAAAACAAGGGGAGGAGAAGAACCTGGGATGCTTAGAGACTCATGAGCAGCTGTTTTGGTAGCAGGAAAGATCCCAATATGTTTGTTGATTTAGAAATTAGTTTTTAAGCATCGGCAGGATAAGGTGGTGAGCAAAAGTCAGTGCAGGCTCCTCAGAGAAACAGTCATGCCAGAGTGTTGGAGGAGAGAATTGTTCTGGATCTAGTTACTGCTCAATATTTCTTTAATGACTTCAAGCTGCAGTTTGGTGGCACTTTTGCTGTCAGTGTCTGATTTGGATCAGCTCCTGAGCCAGTTCCTGATCCGTGTGCCAGGCATACCCTAGCACAGGGAGGAAGCAGGAACAGAAAAGCAGTGACATTAATTCTGTCAGCAGCAGTGTCTGTGTCTGCTGGTTATCACTGAGCCAGGATCTTGGATTACGATGAGAAATACGCTGGTGCCAGTCTGGGAGGGGTTGGGAGCACCCTGGGAACACCACTGAACTCCATATTCTTAGTAAGAATAAGACATATCTTAAAAAAGTGAGTCCAATGCATCAATGCAAAATCCATAGTAACCTCCTTGTCACTTGTCAGACAACACTGAGGTCTGTAATCAGGTCATAAGGAGAATAATATTAGCAAAGGGATGTTACAAAGAAAGAGGCTCCTAATGTATTGTCATATAATAATAGTTGTAATATATTAATAGTTGCAGTATATTGATAATTGTAATGTTAGTAGTTGTAATAGGAATTGCACGTGAAACTTGGGCCTTTGTTATCCTCTCTTCAGGGCTGTTGAGGTTTCAGTTCTGAGCTGCTGTAAAACAAATAATATGACTGATGGGAATTTAGAAAAGAGCAAAAGTAGTAAAGAGCTTAAAAACCTCGTGTTTCTGTGAAAGGGTGATGAGCTGGGTTTGCTCATTCTGCAGAATACCTGAGCAACAGTGTTTGCACGTGTAGGGAGATGGTGGTTCATTTCCAGGTGCAAATTAGGCTTTTCCTCACCTTTCTGGATGTGCTTTGGTTGAATGCTATGGAACTGGAACAGCTCACCCTTGGGAGTTGTGTTGGAATTCTTCCAGTGGGACTGTGGGGGCAAACTTTTCCCTCGGAGTAGAGGATGGGGCAGGGAGTCCTTCCAGCTCCCTCCACTTCTGGGGGTGTGGTTAACAAAAACATCTGATGGGAAGACACAGAATTTCTGGATTGGTACAAGAACAGGCTTATGGTCCTGTCCCATCCTACCCTCCACTCCATGCGGGATATGTGAGCTCCAAGGCAATGACAGCCCCGGATTTTGGGATCAGAGAGTGCTGGGGTTTTACACATCCTGTGGTGCTGCTCATCCCTCGCTCATCCCCTCGCGCTGTAGCTGCACTGCAGTTACAAGGTACAGGCCCTGATTACAAGCCATTCGCACAATTTCCTGTCCTTGTATCTCCCATCTTTTATGTGCACATGTTCCCATCCCCTTCGCATTCTCTGCTGTTGGATTTTGCAGCCTCTCTTCTGGAATCTCTCGGATTGCTCCAAGCAGAGCTGGTGCCAGCTGTGCTTTGCTCTGCCAAAGGGAGCACATGCTCCCAACATGCAGCTTGCAGGCCGAGGGAACACGTGTGTGTGGAGGGAGCCTGTCAAGCACAGGGATTTCAGCCTCAGAGTGGAGAATATTCCCTTCCTGGGGGTTGGTTTGGGCTGGTTTGCTGGAGGTTGGGTTGTAGTGACAAGGGAAGGATGCAGAGCAGAGCCCTCGTCACCCCTCTCCCTCGTGTTCCTGGTAGATGGAGCTCCACAAGCTGCTTATCAAGACTGTTTATTAAATTTTAAAGGAAGTTTTAATCTAGAGGGAAGGAGATTTCTTGGTATCTTCTTAATGAAGCAATAGATGTGAAGGGACTTTGGTTCTTCATGTTCTGACCAATTCTGCCTTAGAGAATCATGTAAAAATTGTACATGCTTTGCTCTCTTTCTCATTCCTTCTACCGCTCTCACAGCTCTTTCTCACCAAATTCGTTGCAAGATGGGTGTAAAAAAAATCAACAGCTAAACATCCACATGCCCAGTATTAAAGCCTACAGGATATTTTTTTTTTGTATTTACAGTTGCATACTCCTTAGAAACTAATTGTTGGTAAAGATCTACATCACTGGCTTGTAACGCCTAATTGTGATGTATTTATGTGTCTTAGAGTTTCTGCCGTCAGCCTCAGCCCAGGAGGGGACAGAAGGAGTTAGTGCTTCCTTCACTCCAGTGTCGTGGATGTGTGTTGTAGGGGAGTTCTGGTTTTGCTGTTTGGTTGGTGTTTTGGTTTGGTTTAATTTTTCCTCAAGACTTTCATATTTCACCTTGGTGGTAGAGGAACCTTTTTCTTGCTGGTGAACTTTAATTAAGGTTCTGCTGTTGTCAAGTCTGTGGAAGTTGATGGGAAGGTGCAGCTTTGAAACAGGAAACAGAACAGCAACCAAATGACCCCAAGTCCTCAAACAAAAAGTTATATTTAATTTCATATTTTATTTGGCAAATAAATGATCTTTGCTGGCGTAAATCCTAAAATTAATGGGGCACAGGATACCCTTCGAGATTAGCCATTCTGTCACCCCAGGAGCTCAGGAGATGGGGCAGGGCAGGAACTCTGAGGCTGTTCCACGTGGGTACAGAACGTTCTGTGGTGTCTGGCTGCCCACAAATACCATGTACACCATGGGCAGCAGTGCTTACACATCACACTTCCCACGTCTGCCATAGATTGGGCCCATTATGGGATCTTTATGAGCACATTACGTTATCTTTCACTTTTCTTGCTCTCTTTGAACAGGGTTATTTGTTTTTAATGGGTTCTGGAACACGTAGTCCCAGCTGTGTTAGTAAGCTAAAGAGTCTCTCCCATCCACCAAGACTCGCTGGGTGGGAGGGAACAACGTGCTCAGGATGTACAATATTGGTACCAGCAGGCATTTAAAAGCAGATCATTTCAATTTGTGCCCTCTAGATAAGTGTGGTAGAATAGCAGAGCCCTTTTCAGTGTCCTCTTGGCACCCACCTTGTGAATTCTTCTGGAGATGATGTTCCCAAGTTGCTCCACTGAGGGTTTCAGCACTTGGCTATAGAATTTCTAATGTTTGTGTGTCACTAGGATGTGAGGCTCCTGCTCTGAGAGTTTTCTGAGTGGCTGTGAGGTGCTTTGGAAATGTCAGAAAATCCTGGAACAGTTTGGGTTGGAAGGAACCTCAAAGCCCATCCAGTCCCACCCCCTGCCATGGGTAGGGACACCTTCCACTGTCCCAGGTTGCTCCGAGCCCTGTCCAACCTGGCCTTGGACACTTCGAGGGATGGGGCAGCCACAGTTTCTCTGGGCACCCTGTGCCAGCCTGTGTCCTCCCAACAGTGAAATGTTACCTGTTAATTTGGGAAAAGCAGCTCCCAGACAGCAAAGGCAGCTGCCAAATTACCCTTTGTCTGGTGTGTTTTGTCATGCAATGCTTTGTGGTTCCCTTCCAGCTGGAAGGTGCTGTGACACATCCCGGGAGAGCTCGGGAGCCCCGGGAAGGTCTGCCCGGGCTGGGGACACGTGTTGTGCATTTGCAGGGCTCCGGTGAGGGGGATCAGCTCCCAGCAGGGCACTCCAGCCTTTTATGATTCATTAGTCTGATTTCCTCACAGGCAGGAAAAAATCCAAGCTACCTGAAATCTGAGTGTTATTTCCTGCCGTGACAAACTGATTATTTCAGGGCATGTTTTGAATGAAGCCACGTTCTGGTTTCACTCCAAGCCTGTTTCTACTCTGTTCATATGTATTCAGAGCGAGCACTGGGATTTGTTTTTTGCAACTGTGATTTTATGGAAGTGGAGCTAATAATTCTGTTTGTAGCATGGCCCAGCAGTACCAGCTGGATTGCTTTTCGGGTAGATGCTGACTGAAAACTTGGCTCAAAATACACTTTTTTCTTTTAAAAGAAGTGAAGTTATTTCTGGGACTCTTAAGAATCTTTCTTTGACTAGAGCAAATATCAGTTTCAATCAGATAACTCTTCCAGCAGAAGACTCCTAGAAAATCAGTGGTGTGGTTTGAGTCATGATTTCTTTTTGTGTAACAGGGATTGGCTGGTTTGGCAGGAGAGGGACATCAAAGTGGTGTGGGAGAGGAGGAGTGACACAAAAAGGAAAGTAAAATTGGATAATAAGGTAGAATAAAACAACTTAAAGAAATAATTTAAGAGCACTCAGCTGCAGCATAATGATTCTTTTTCCTTGAGTTTTATGCATTCAGCTACAAGTTTAGTTTGGACAAATACAGAGATTTTTGTTATTTGGCCAGTCCTTGCTGGAGCAATGTCAGTCCTGCCAGATCCACCAAGGAGCAAGAGCTGTCACTGCAGCATTACATGGCTGAGGAACACTGGGTGTTGCCAGGAGTTTCTTCACCAAAAGGGCTGTCCAGCCCTGGCACAGCTGCCCACAAAGTGGTGGAGTCCCCAACCCTGGAGGGTTCCAAAAAGGTGTGGGTGTGGCACTTGGGGACATGGTCACTTGGTGGCCTTGGCAGTGCTGGGGGATGGTTGGACTCGATGCTGTGATAGGGCTTTTCCACACCAAACAATTCCACATGCTGGATGCTGTATTCCCAAAGCCCTGCTAAGTGAGAAAGGAGCTTGTTTTACTTTGAACACGAGCTCAGCTCTTCACTGGGGTGATTCCTGTGGGTGGATCTGCAATATCAGAGCAGAAGAAGGAGTGCATGGGCTGACACACCCTGGAGCTGCTTGGTCAACTCAAAATGGTATCAGTTCCTGTCTCCTCACTCAAAAGGCTAAAAATGGTCCAGACCACCAATTTTTTTTCCTTTTTCCCCTTATAACTTACGCTCTACAGATGGAACTGAGTCAGACATGTAATTTGAGTGATTATCCCTCTTGGCTCAGCTTTCCATTGGCCTTGGTATCTAAAGAAATCTTTGTAGCCATGGAATAATATCAGTGCTTTTAAACCCAAGTGCAGATGCTTTAAAGCATCTGGTGTAACGTGTGTCACAACTGTGGCTCAAAATCCTGTGGATAAATATCTTCCTACTTCAAGCACTTTGTCCTCAGTGAGTTTGTTTGTTTAATTCCTCATCGATTTTTTTCTCTTCACTGCTTCCCCTCACTGCTCAGGAAATACAAGAGCTCCTACTCAGAGCTCAGATAGTTTCCTTTTCTATTCATTCCAAAGTGTTTTTCCCCTGATTTTTTTTTTTTTTCTGCTTTGAGTTAAGAAGACCACTGTGTTTTGATCAAATGGAAACAGTGAAATATGGAATCTGAAAACATAAATCATTGGGTATTTAACACACATTCTTGGTAGTTACTCAGCAATCAAATTATTCCAGAAAAGGTTGGTTGTAAGTGTAAGAACTAAGGAAAATTTGTTTCCTACAGACTTGTGTGTATTGCAGTGCTTGCAGGGTAATTATGAACGTACAGAGCAAGGTCCTGATTAAGGTAGAATTTCATTTTCTGTTATTTTTTTGACCTTGTAGCAAATACTTGAAAAATGCAACCTGCTCTGGAATCCTTCTAGGTTTTTACTTCACCTGAGAAATGGGTGTGAAGGACAGGACCCACTTCCAGCTGAGCCCAGAGAGATAATATTTGTTTGTTCCATGACTTCATTTATTTTGAAGTTCAATAACAAAAAATGTAAAAATTAGGAAGGTTTAGTACTTGCACAGAGCATTTGCAGGTCAGGCCCCCGATGATTTTGAGTTGTTTTCAGTCCCAGAACCCAGTGAAATTCCAAGCACTGTTTATTTGCAGGGCAGCACAAGAGCACCATGTTCTCTCTGGGATAAGAAACCCCTCCTGTGCTCCCTAAAGCAGCTCATTTTGTCCTTTTTCAATATAGTAATTTCAGTGCTTTGGAACTTTATGGTAGTTATCCTGAATAACAGTTTCATATTTCCAAGCACAGTTTGCAGCTGCCAGGAAAAATAAACTTGCATTTTCAACTCCTTCAGAGCAACTGTAACCAGGGGTGTTTTAAACTGGGGCAACACTTAAGAAATGGGAAAATAAAGCTTGGCCAGGGCATCCTGAAATACCATTTTTATCAAGCTATATTTAAAGTGCTAAAGATTGTTGAATCACGGGATAATGAGCCTTTAATTTATAATTTTTGAAAGCTGCTTTCTTTCCTCTGAGTCCGATTTCTTTCCATTTATCCCAGTGTCTCAAAATATCTCTATTTTTCTTCTTCTGTAAAACAAGGGATTCTTAATTTGACTTCAGCTGTTTGCAGTTTTTCACCTCTCTGATTTTGATAATTCACTGTTGGAATCCCTATAGCAGTTGGCAATTATGCAAGAAAAAATAACTGAAGGAAAGTTGAAGTGTGTTTGAGTCTCTCTGACATACAGTGGCTCTTCCAGCTGCCACCCATGGTCCATCTTCCATATCTCCCAAGTTTGCCAAGAGCTTTTCCTACCCTTGCTCTGAGGGGTCTCTCGGCTGTATCTGAGTGTCCTCTGACCTAGTCTTGATTCTTACCCATCTCCTTCCTCTCCAGTGAATTTATGCTGAATTTATCCCCCAGCCAGGGGCAAACCTGTCAGGTTCAGGGCTCTGTGCTGGTGAGCAGGTGCTACGTGTCCCCTGCTTCAGGATTAATGATTGATCCCTTAGAAAATCACATTTCTCAGTTAATAAAGGACCTTTCCATGAGCTGTAGTTTGTAATCAGCCATGAATGTTTCATACCTACAAACGGGTTCTGTTTTCCACAGCACTACAGTGCCATGGACACTACCTCATCCTCATTAATCCCTTACTCACTGCAATTATTTGTGTACAGATTGCTGGCTTACATCACTTTGTTCACTCCCCACTTTTCTTGCCTGCTTCACTCGGACACCAGTTGCCAGAAAACCACAGGAAATAACATTTTTCTGGCTCAAGCGATCACAGATTCATTAAGGAGATAACTTTGTTAAACACAGAGTTTTATTGTCAATTAATACACCAAACATAGCTCAGAGGTACTTTAGAATTCCAGTGGGAGTTCCCACATATTAAATTGCCAGGCTTGATACATCCTGTTAAGTTTCCAGTAAGGCAAAGCACTGCTGTAGCTTGGGTTCATTTCCTAATGCAGAATTTTTCTTTATTATTTGTTAAAGCAATAACATCATCTGATCATAAATGCTCTGGAGAATGAAATGGTTTAAATGACTCAGATTTACTATTGTTACTTAGTGTCACTCAGGGTTTTTTTGTTCAATGTGTTCCTCACAAACAGTTTTACCATTTCCTGTCTTTCCAGATGTCCCGGGATGAGACGGTGTGTAAATACTGCGGGGTCAGCTACCTGATCCTCCACGAGTTTAAGGTGATGGAAGAGAAAGTCAAAGCAATGGAAAAGGAGATAAAGTTTTATGAAGGAAGCATCGAACGGGAGCAGAGGCTCCAGGCTGAATTACAGGCCCTGTACCGAGACCTGGAGCGCTACCGAGCTGCCAGTGAGTCCAAAAGTGAAAGGTCAGAGCTCATCATCTTCTCTGCTGACATTCCCCTGCAGCTTATTAGGGACCTTCATCCCAAAGAAGTTTAAAACAGAAATAACAGAATCGCAGAATATGCTGGGTTGGAGCAGACCCACGGGGATCATTGAATCTTTTATCAGATGCATCATCTATGATACTTTGTGATATGATGTGATACTGGGATACTTTATTGAAATCATCTTTCACAGTATTCCTTGGAAGCAAGTCTAAAATTCCTTCCTAGTTTAGAAACAGTCCATACATTTAAAGTGAGAGAGAGGCCAAGAAGGCACTTGGAGGTATTTCCCCTGCACACACTTCCAAATAGAAATTGGAAATATTTCACCTTATCATCTTGTAATCAAATTGTAATATTTGAAATGAAATGGCACAGTACTGGGAATTTCACAGTTGTGAGAGTTTGACTGATTGTCTCATAGTAACCTGGGAAAGAATTCCCAGTGTTGTTGCCCTCAGAAGCTCAGGCTTCACTCTCTAAAGGGCAGATACTAAAGGAATTATAAACATTTTGGGTCCTGCCTGTGGCACTGTTCTCCAGGAGCAGGAGTCTGCAAATCCTTGCAGACAGATACGTGAAGGTTCCAATTAATTCCCTTAAGAACTCCAGTAATGAATGACAGACCTCAGAGCCATGTTGGGATTTCCAGGGCACAGTGATTAGAACCTTTAAGTGTGTTCTTTCAGCTCATGCTTACAGGTTGTGTATCCTTTTCTGTCCTCATATTTTGGAATCTACCATTATATTCCACTAGTTGATTACAGTAGGACTATAAACAATATTTATAGTCCACTAATAAAAGATACTTTATAAAAGTGCAGCTGCCCAAGTTGACAACTGATGGAATAAAGAGGGACATCAAGGCCACCAGAAACTTCTTGATAATTTCTTGCTTATCTAAATCAAACTGTTTGTCAGAAGCTTTTTGTAAGTGTGAGATTGTAACTTTAATTACCAGCTCAGCCATTTTGATTTTTGGGACCCCCAGTGGGGGTGTTCCTTCCATGTTTGCTCACATCAAGTGATCCAGAACTGGTGACATGGGCATTTTGAGTGTTAAGGTGCTCCAGAGATTGGACTGGAATGCTTTGGAAACCTGCTTTTTTTTGTTTTTCAGAATCACTCAGATACCGTTAAGAATTTAATGTTTCTATTAAGGGATTTAGTTAGGCTTGTGTTTGCTAATGTTACTAATAACACATTGATTTTAGAGCACAAGCTCCCACAAATTTGAACAAAACGTGTTTATGTTGTAGATCACTCTGCTCATGTTTCTTGCAATATTTTTTTCATTTAAACTGAACATCCTCCACCCACCCCCCTTCCCAATATTCAACGTTTTCTTTGGTTTAACATCATGTTTTTAAAGAGCTGTTTGCTCCTTGTCCCTTTAACGACCCTGGGTGGCAGAATTCGGTGTGTGAGCAAATGCAGTGACAGCACATTCTTCTTGGGGAGGATCATTTGCCAGAGCTAAACTTGAAATTTTCATTGAGCTGCCTCTTTGTAGTAAAGCTGGAACAGTTAATAAAAATTTTTATCTCTGCACTTTCCCCCCCTGAGGCTTGACTTGATTTAAAAGCTGCTGAAATCAAGTGCAATACTTGCAGTAGGCTCCCACTCCAGCCATAAATCAACTGTTGTGCCTTGTTAAATACCTTGTCTAAATATTCCTTATCTTCTCTTCACTATTCTGGGCCTCTCACTACCTTGTGCTGTTGGCATTAAGTCACTATTCACCATCCTCATTTCTGGGTCTGGCAAGGCTGACAAATTATTCCTCCCAGAAGCCAAATATCCCCTTTTTTAAATTTTATCTCTGGGAGACCAATGGATTTAATCTTTCTTGTCAGTTCAGACTGTTTCATTTTTATATTCCTTTTAGGTTCAGGTTTGCTGTTGTTTGTACCTGTGGTTACCCTTGAAAGCCCCCTGGGAACGGGAGCTTTGGCAGGGATTGGTTACCTGTTCTTTGGGATTGGGGGACAAGAAGGGGAACTAACCAGTAGTTAGTTCCACTTAGCTATTCAAGCCTTATTCCATGTTAAAATCAGTTTAATTGTGATAGTAATTTAGTTTGGGTAATTCTTGACACATCCAATATAAGAAATATAAAATACATTTAAATGCTAAGGATGTCCTCAGGTACCACATCCACAAGTTTTCTGAACACCTCCAGGGATGGAGACTCCACCACTGCCCTGGGCATCATCTGGAATGAAAATGAGCAGCTGTTGGGTCTGAGCAGATCCTGCACTTTCAGGGAGCTGAAAATACCGTGGTGGAACTTTTTTGGGGCAGGATGTTCCAGGCTCTCTGAGCCTCCTGTCCCTGCTGGCTCCAGGCAACTCGGGATGCTGGTGCTCCTCCAGTCCCACTGGGAATCAGAGGGAGTACCAAGATGATTTATTCTGATCTGGACTTGTGAGAGACGCCCTAAATCCCAACAAACAGGGTAATTGCTGCTGTCATTGCTTTAGGACAATGACTGTGTTTGCAACTCCTTCTTGATTTTCTCCTCCATTCTTCTCCTGTCAGCACTGGGAGTTACCACGTCCTGATTCCCCTCCCGCCCCGGGCAGGATCCCTCCTGTATTCCCCAGGAAAGCAGGGCTGCAGAGATGGGCTGTTAATTCTGCCCGGCTGAACTATAGGACAGAGGATGAGCTCAGTGTGTTCCCACCATTCTCTCAATGCCAGCAGTTAATGATCCATGGAACTTTTCCTTTGTGCTAAAAAGCACCAAAATAACATGTTTATTTTGCTCCCTCCTGGTGCCAGGAGGGTGCAACTGTCCTGCCTTTTCCACGGGTGCTTTTGTGTGGGACTGACCAGAACATGCTGAAAATGTCCCTTTTATTATATCAGGGCTCTGCGATGGAAAGAGGAAGAAAATGTGTCTGATTATTTACCAGTTTCTTTCTTAAACCGAAAGATCTTCACATATCCCATTCTAGACTAAGAATGGAAAATGAGCATCCAGTTTTCCCTGGATCCCAAAGTTTTGGTTTGTTATTGTTCAGTGCTAAATCACTGCTTTTTTCCTCATCTGCAAAAGTAGGTTTGAATTTCTGTAGCTGTAGGGGGGATGGACATTTCCTTGTTAGTGGAACAGTTCTGCTCCCAAACGCAATCAAACAGATTGATTCTCTGCCCTCCTGCCTCCACTTCTGGGGAAATTTTCCTAAAAAGGTAATATCAGAAATTTTTTCAAATTTTTAATTATTTTTGGAGTTGTTTTTTTTTCCAGTGATCATATTTCAGCCCAAAAACTTGCTTTTGAACTCCCAGAAGTTCAGTTCTGATTTTGTCAGAGGCCTGCAGACCCAGGTTTCTTTATCAGGACTCATATTTCTTAAAATTTGTGTTTTGGTGCAAATGTGCTCATCTGTGTGTAACAGTAACTAAAGCACTTTGATGCTTTGTCTTAATTTTAATATATTTTTTATTATAAATCATTTTAATTTTCTGCTGCTTTTTACAACTGAAGCCAAGGCTTCTGCCACCCTTTGGGTTTGTAAAATATTTATTGATTCAAATACTATTTATTTACTTGTGACGGTGAGTCACCAGTAGGGAAATGGATCATTTACTCTGCATGAGCAGTGAGCGTTGAAAGCTTCGAAAGGGGCTGGTTTGTAGCAGTTCCTGTCACTGGAGTTGTATTTTGGGGATGGAAGGCTGGTTGAGGATGGTTTTCTGCAGCCAACAGCTGTACTGCAGCTGGGGCTGAGCTGCTGTGTGGGATCCTTCCTTCACGGGTACCACGGGAGGGGAACTGGCTCCAACTCTTATTCCTGGGCACTTCCATTCACTCCACGACAATTGTGGGAATAATTCCCGAGGTGTTGAAAGAACAGTGTTTAAACTGTGTTTATTTGCACTGTGATAGCTGGGCTTGGCAAACAAAAGGTGCTGTAATGAGAAAGTTCAGAAGGTAAATGTTGGAGGTGAAGAACAGCTCGAGGTCGATGTTTGGGGCTGTGTTTGTTGTGGCTGATCCTGCACGGAGCTGGGGGAGGGATGGAGAGCTCCCCGTGCTTCCCAGGGGACACCACCCTCCTCCTCCTCTCCTGTGAGCACTGAGGGGGGTGAAAGAAACACTGCTTGGGTGTCCTGTGTCTTGTCATGGGGCGGCTTTTCAAAAGGTGTGTAAAAAAATTGCGAATCACACAACGGTTTGGGTTGGAGGGGACCTGCACAGGCCATCTTTTAGTAGGAGGGAGGGTACACAGCGTGCTGCTGAGTCCAGATAACAGCAAAGTTGTCCTGCCCCCAGTTTTAAGATCTTTTTTGGTGTCAGCTTTGAAGTAAAATGCTCAAAATTGTCACCTGCATTGTCATTTAAGAACCCATCAGGTGCTGCTGTGAAGCACCGGGGAAGATCCAGGAGAAAGAAAACAGTTCCATGGTCAGGGGTGTGAAACCAAGGGCAAGTTCTTCCCATTTGGAGACTGATAGTTGTGTGAAATATGTGATTATCACCTTTGAAAAGCTGTGGCTGCCCCACCTCTGGGAGTGTCCAAGGCCAGGTTGGAGCAAGCTGGGATAGTGGAAGGTGTCCCTGCCCATGGCAGGGAGTGGCACTGGATGGGCTTTGAGGTCCCTTCCAACCCAAACCAGTCTGGGATTCAATTCCATTTAATTTAAAGCTGAAACAGAAGTTAGAGGTTGTTTATGAGCACAAATAAGACTTTCTGATTATTTTATTTGCATCTCTAGAATAAAAAGCCTGACAATGGAACTGAAAACCAAGCAAGAGGAGTTTAAAAATGTGAAAGCTGATTTGCAGTATTTCCAGGAGGAGAAGGAAGCAGCCTACAAACAATCCCAGGTGCTCAGGTAAGAACCCCAAACCAAATGCTGGTGTTGGAAATGCTCTGTTTCTTACTTACATGTTGTTTATAAAGACCTACCATAGGCTTAGCCATAGTCATTTAAACATGACTACTGTGATTTCCCAATAAAAAATGATTGTACAATTGCCTGTCTAGTTTTCTTCATTTATACATAAAAGCTCTAAATCAACATTTAGAAGGGAGAAACTTATAAATATATTCAATACCTAATACAACATATTTCATATAGTAATGTAGTATAAATTATTGTATAACAGAAGAGTAGTTGTCAAGTTTCCTCTGAGTCCTAAGTTTATTATATAAATTATTTTTGAAATACACCTCTGGTATTGTGTTCTCTCTTGCAGAAGTACCTTGGAACACCATTGCTCAACTCTGAACAAGGCTGTCTCCCTGTTCCCTTTCATCAGAAGTGAGCTGGACAGCATTAAAGAGGTCATCTCCACTAACCTGGAGAACTGGGCTGCCATGAAAGAGGAAATTTCTCTGCAGATAAAAACTGTGAGCAAAGAGGCTCTGACAGGTAAAGCATCTTACAAGAATTTGGGGCAGGAGAAAATAATTTTTGGTAGTTGAGTGTCAATGAGAAGGTAAAAATTAATTAGATGAAGAACTTACATCACTTATATTTTCATTGATCTTGACAACAGTCAAGTTAGACCAAGCCTAACTCCACTGTCAAGGCAGTTGGTACATGTTTTATTTGCAAATTTTAAACACTTTCTGTGGTGCAGATATTTTCATTATCTATAATCTTTCCCAACTACTCCACACTTAAATCCATTTACTGTGAGACTAAATGATGTGAATACCAAAAGATTTGATATCTTATACTGTTTCCTACTTGCCATTCATTAACCAAGGCTAGTTAAAGTACATATATAAGAGCTTTTAGAAACTTTTTTCAAGCTAACCAAGCAAAAACTGGTCGAAAGAGCAACCACTCTGTAGCATTTTTTGTCCCAAAATCTGAATGTTCTGAAAAGGTTGTTGCAAAAACAGTAAAATAAACAAAAAAAATTACTGTATGTTAATATCATATGTTAATCATGAACAACTGATACAACAGAACATAAAAGCTTTTAAATGGCATTCACAGGCCCCCCAAAAAAAATGTGAAACTAAACTGTTTTGATTTAGAAAGCTGGATTTAAGGATGGATTTAATGTTCACAGTCACAATATTCACCAGGCTCAAGTGGGATATGTTGGATGAGGGATGTGTAAGAATGGCACCACTCCTGCTTCTGTACAGAAACTCTGTGTATTTGGAGTATTACACAAATAAACCAGGGAATACTCCAGAAAAGAAGCCTGGAAATGTGTGGCTCTCTTTGAGCCTGCAGATGTCTGCAGGAACACGTTCACATTGCCTTTATTAGCAGAAGTAGGCAGGGAATGAGCACAGGAAGAGAGGGATCCTCAGGACACACCATCCTTCCTGTGCTCAGAGGAGGTGACTCATGAATCCCAACATACTGACACTGATACACTGATTGTTCTTACAAACAGTGAGTACTAAGGAGGGGGTTTCTGGTCACGCTCATCTCCAGCAGGGAAGAGCCCCTGATTTGGGGCTCAGGACCCTCCAACTCTCCCTTGGGGGCTCAGGACCCCCCAGCTCTGCCTGTGCTGCTCAGTGGGTTCGTGCCTGCTGCCCCCAGGGACAGCTGCCCCCTGATTCCTTCCCAGTGGGAACAAAGCCATCATTGAAAACATCCCAATTCCCTGCAGTGTCACAGGAAGCACAGGCTGCTGGGCAGCTGGGATGGCAGAGAAAGCCCCATTTTCTGAGCTGCTCCACACACACAGGTTTCACTCAAGCTGTGGCTTTGCACTGGAGTTCTCAGGGGCAGAGCAGTGTGGGAGAGGCACATCACCCACCCTGCCCTTACCTCCCCTCTCCCAAGGATGGGAAGCATGATGGAAAGGATGACAGCAGCTCACCTACTTCTTTGGACCTTAGAACCCTGATCAAACTGACCCCCAGAGCTCAAGGAGTTTGGACAAGGCTCTCAGGCATGTGGTGGGGTTGTTGGGGTGTCCTGTGCAGGGCCAACAGTTGGACTTATCCTTGTAGGTCCCTTCCAACTCAGGATATTCTGTAATTCTGTGACACAGCAACTCGTCCTCTCACACACGCTGAAAAACTGGAAGGGAAGGAATTCACCTGTAAATATTATTTCCCCAGGCCTCTAAAGCTGTAGCAGTCAGCACAGGGCCTCTTTGGGTGCTCTGGGTGTTCCAGTCCCTAATCACACTACCACAGACTCTTTTCAGCAAAACTAACCTCGTCTGAGGCAGAGCAAAAACCAGTGCCCAGGGATCAGTTTGTGTTTCCAGTCTGGGGACTGGGCACGACCCTTCCCAAACAACCCCTGATTGTGCCCAGCTCTCTGCTCCTGAAGGACACCCTTGTTCCAGCAGGAAGCAGGGTGTGGCCAAGGGAGTTATTCCCAGCCTGTGGGCTGCTTTGTGCCCCTTCAATCCCAAAGACCTCTCAGATAAAACCAGCTGGATTTGGGTATGGCTTGTTCTCACTCAGACACGGGAGGAGGGAGTAGTTGCTGCATTTTGGGTGTAGGTTTGCTCGTGAATTCAAGGTGACCTGAGGAGTAAAGCAGTAGGCTGGCCAAGGGAAGGGGTGCAGCCTCTCCACACATTTGGGAGGCAGCACTGCAGGACCCTCCAGCAGCTCCCAAAAGGATGTTATACCATCACCCTACAGTCTCCTGTGTGTAAAACAGTGAGAAAAACTGGTAGTAGGAGACACAAGGCAAGTGAAAATGTCTCCAAGTCTTTGTGTTGCAATCACAGCTCAGAGTAAGTTTATTATTGGTGTTTAAAATGTTGGTAAGTATTTCTATCACTTCCAAAAGAGTTGTAGCATAATTGTTTAAGAAATAATGATGTTCCCAGGGCTGGAGCCCCTCTGGAGCCAGGCTGGGAGAGCTGAGGGTGTTGACCTGGAGAAGGCTGCAGGGAGACCTGAGAGCCCCTTGCAGGGCCTAAAGGGGCTCCAGGAGAGCTGGAGAGGGACTGGGGACAAGAGATGGAGGGACAGGACACAGGGAATGGCTTCCCACTGCCAGAGGGCAGGGCTAGATGGGATATTGGGAAGGAATTCCTGGCTGTGAGGGTGGGGAGGACCTGGCACAGGTTGCCAAGAGAAGCTGTGGCTGCCTCTGGATCCCTGGGAGTGTCCAAGGCCAGGTTGGACAGGGCTTGGAGCAACCTGGGCTAGTGGGAGGTGTCCCTGCCCATGGCAGGGGTGGGACAGGATGGGCTTTGAGGTTCCTCCCAACCCAAACCATTCCATGATTCCATGAGTACTGAAGTCCTGCGGTCAAAAAACAGGTGTCATATTTTTAGTGGGGAAGGTAAATTTGACAACAGCTTTTACAATTTCTTGTTTCCTCCTCAGAAATACCCAAATTGAATCAAAGATTGGCAAAATCCCAGAGGGAGAACGAATGTCTGCAGGAGAAGGTGAAACACCTGACAGGGGTGGCCGACACAGTTGAGCTGAAAACCCAACAGCTCCAAACGTCCCTTCAGCAAGGGAACGAGCTCCAGAGCAGGTGCCGTGAACTGCAGAAGGAGACATTGGGTAAGAAAATTTTGACGTTTCTAGCAAAATTCCAAGGGGAAAAAATGCCAAAAAAAGAAGTCTTTAAGAGCACTGAAGTTGTGGCTGGTACTGTGAAAAGACTGAACAGGAGTGAGCAGGACTTTTGGCTCTCAGGACTGAACAGCAGCCAAGCCAGGCTCCTTTAGAGTCATTAAACAGGAGACTCTCTAATGATTTGCCCTTGATTGTGTGTCCTCTTGAAAACTGCAAGAACAGTGACAGCACTTGAAATTATAATAATATAAATTCTACTATCTTGGGAGCTCTGTAGAGACAATAACTCGTTATAAAAAGATGATTTATATTGGTATCTCCTGAGTCATTTTCTCTTGCATTCACAGCACTGGCTCAGGGATATTTTGAGACCTTGGAAACACATCTAGAGGTTGTGCTGTTCTGGGCACAGCTCTGAGTCATCAGATTGGCACAGCAGTTCCCAGCCTGCCTTATGCTCAGTGTGTGGGGTCAGGGGGTCTCAGGGATGGGCACAATGGAGGAGTTTTGCTGCTCCTTCAGTGCCTGCGAAGATCTCAGATGTGAGACTGCAGGGACCATCCAGCCAGGGAAGTGCAGCTTCCTGGGGAGGTGACAGCAGGTGCAGAGGGGAATCAGAAGAGCCTTTCCCTGCTCCCCACTGGCCCAGCCCCAGGTGACTCAGGATCACAGGGGGTTTGTGGGGTTGGTTCCTCAGCGGAGCAGCAGCTCCCAAGTCCTTCCCGGGACTTCAGTTCCAGTTTCTGTTCTCCTGCTGCCAGAGAATCCCGGGAGGGGAGGGCACAGACTGTGCTTTTGGTGGTGTGTCATCACCAGAGCTCAGCCAGCTCTACCAAAAGAGAAGTTGGTGGAAGTCCCCTCTGTAAGTGCTTCACTCTGGCCCCACAAATCCTGGATTTATATCTGTGTCAGCACCACTGGTGGAATTTGTTCTACAGTTTAGTCTCTGCATTTCCCTAGAAGTGTCCAAGGCCAGGTTGGACGGGGCTTGGAGCAACCTGGGACAGTGGAAGGTGTCCCTGCCCATGGCAGGGGGTGGAACAAGATGAGCTTTGAGCTCCCTTCCAAAATTGCTCCTTTCATCCAGGCTCCTCCTCCGAGTTAACCTGGGGAGGGCGTTTGGGATCCAGACATTTGGGATCCATCTCTCACCGGTTCTGCTGCTCTGGGAATTCAGTGTTAATACGAACAACTAGAGAGTTATGGTTTTGAGGAGAAAAAACCATGGGATTTGTTGAACTAAATTCCCATTTTTCACTTTCATGTGACATAATTGGAAGGGAAAGCTCTTGAAATCAACCTGAAATGTTAGAATATTCTGAAAAAGCTTTATCCATGCTCTTTTATTTATTAATTTTCGCTGCTGGCATTGATGTGAGACCTAACCAAGACCTACCATCTCTGGGGTTGTCTTTTTTTTTTATCCCTCTCCACTTCAAAGGAATATTTTGGAAGCCGCTTGTTTATGTTTATAAAGAGAATTGAAAATTTGCAGTGAAACTTGAAACAGTGGACATTTTATGGAGAAAACACAGCTAAAACATCACAAATGGAATTCATACAGAGTATTAGGACTCTGCAAGATCTTAATGAACAGTAGAAAGCTCAGCTAAACTGGTTGATGCTGAGGCATATATGAGGCATTTTTAAATGAATTAGTGAAAATGTAGCAGTTACTTGATAATAAATCAGTTATTAAGGAGCAGTAAGAGGTTTGATGTGGATATCCAGAAGATTTCAAGGCAGGAAAGCTGCTGGCTCAGGCATTTTGATTCTGCCCTTCCTGAGTGGGTCATTAAAACACAAATCCATGAGGATTTGAAGGGGTCTGGCCTAGGGAACATGTTGCTGGATTTGGGTAATAAACCCAGTTAATGCACTGCTGATAGAAATGTTCTCTTTGAAATATAAAACATGATTTTCTCCATAAACAAGCATTAAATATGAGTTTGCCAATGTATTAAAATAAATTAATGGGAACAAACAACAGTCTTGGTGGAAATGAGCTCCAGGGAGTGGATTTATGCTGTCCAAAGTCAGGGTGTAGGAACTCAGCTGGATCCAGAGTGTCCATGGGTTTGGGGGAGCTTGGTTTCATGGTTTATTTTGCTTTTTTTTTTCCTCCCCCAAACTACTCTAACATCCCTCTTTGGTACTGAAATAGTTCAATGCTCCAGGGAAAAACCCCCAAACCACCAGGATTTGTGATTTCCAGTTTTTTAAGGATTCTCCTTTCAGCAGCCAATATTTTGAAGATTCTTCTCTTGCTCGTATATCATAGAGTTGTAGATTATTGACTATTTCCTGTGATAGCAGGCATTTGCAAGAGCAGAAACTGAGCAGTAGTTTCAACTGTTGTTTCTTTGTGCTCGTGCTTGTTGTGACTTCCTGAAAATTCCCTTTGTGGGGGATTTGTGGGTTCAGTTTGTTGGTGTCACAGCCCTTTCCGGCCTCTCAGAGCATTACCCGGTGAGTGGGAGAGGGCAGGTCTTGACAAATGCTCAGCACAGGGTAAGGTCTCGTGAATAATTGTCTAATCAAAGACTCACAGAACTAAAAATCAATAATTGGGATGGTGTCTGTGTATCTTTAGGGCTGGGAGCAGCAGAGCTTCAACAGCACGTGCTCCTCAAAGAGAGGAGCTGATCCCTGTGCTTTCGTTTCATTACCAGCCAAATCCTTTCCTCCACTTAATCACAGATAAAGAATCATTTTTCTTCCCAGAGGCCTTGTGGTTTTTCTCTAGCTCATTTATAGTTTCAGGCTTTACCCCTTTATGGGCTGAAATTGCTGGTGATGCATATGAAATGTGAATTTTCAATCTTTTGGTGCTCGTGCTCCTTGGGCTACTTCAGTTCCTAAATATAAACTTAGTGGTCTGCTGACATAATGAGAGATGATGGAAACTTGCAGGCAGCTGGAGGAGGGACTGGAACTTGGACTGGGAATGTTAGCACTGCTCATGGAAAGAAGGAGCAGCGTTTTCATCCCAGCGAAGTGCCTTTAATGCCACTTTAAAGACCGCTTTGAAAAGCTTTGAAAATCCAAAGAGGGAATAGTTTCCTGCAGTTTTAGGTAGGCTGCAGTTCAAACAGCCACTTTTCATGCTGCAAGTGCTGTTGAAATACATTTTTTATCAATTCCAGCTGTGGTAGGAAGAATTGGAAGGGAGAGAGCCGGGGAATGCAGGGCTGGTGCTGGAGCAGAGTGTGACGAGGCAATGGCTCATTAGTGCTTTTCAACAGCCTCACAGTGGAAGAGGAAGCAGATGAATAGGATGGAAAACAGCACCCAAGTTCCCTTCCAGGAGGAGTTGGGATGAGGCTCTGTTTGAGTTCGACTGACTTACAGAAGGGCCTCACTTTGCTTCTGGAGGAAAAGCAGGAATCCACGTTCTCCTGTGGCCACAGGCTGGGAGACCTGGGAATATTCAGCCTGGAGAAGAGAAGGCTCCAGGGAGACTTTAAAGCCCCTTCCAGTGCCTAGAGGGGCTCCAAGAAAGCTGGAGAGGGACTGACTGCAGGGCTAGGAGACCCTCCAGCCTTGGGTCTGAACAAAACCACAGGTCTGGCTTTGGCAGAGATTCTGCTCTGGGCTGAAGGGTGAGCTTTGCCACCCCAGAGGTCCATGAAGCTGTGCCTGAACTGTGATGAGAATTCCATAAAGCTTGATAAAATAAAAAATGCTGTGATCTGGGATTCTTCTAGCACTGCTAGTTTGCTGGCAGTGCCCTGAGTTCGTGGTGAGCAGGACGAGGGCACACGTGGAGCCCACACAGCCCTTGTGCTTCCCAGTGGGAGCGTGGCCGGGGCTGCCCTGGTGGCACAGTGACTGTGGGATGAGTCAGAGCTTGTCCTGTGTACACCAAACCAGCTGCCTGATTTTCCCCAAACCACGCTGAAATGAAGGGAAAATGAAACCAACCCCTCCCTGAGCCGTTCTCTGTGTGATGCAGAGATGTGGGGAAGGAGCAGCTCCTCTTGCCTGCAGTGCCTGGCCAGGCAGCGAGGAGCAGGCTGGGTTTCGCACCTTGAAAACACGTGGGCTCTGTAGGCATGCATTTATTTTTGGTAGGCACAGTCATTTTAGACCAGAGACTCACTGACATGGAACAGGTTCCCCCCTGACTGCCAGGATCTGCTATGCTGGGCTTCTGTCCCTGGGCTGCTGCTCAGGAGGATCTCAGGTGCTGGTGGGGGTCTGAACATCCTCAGTGCCAAATCCAGGGTCCCCAACACAGGAAGGACATGGAACTGTTGGAGCAAGTCCAGAGGAGGGTCACCAAGTTGATTGAGAGGTGGAGCACCTCTGCTGTGAGGAAAGGCTGGGAGAGTTGGGATTGTTCAGTCTGGAGAAGTTTCAAGGTGACTTAATTGTGGCCTTGCAGTGCCTGAAGGGGCTACAGGAAAGATGGAGAGAGACTGTTTATAAGGCATGGGGTGACAGGACAAGGGGGAATGGCTTCAAACTGCCAGAGAACGGGGTTAGATAGGATATTGGGAAGGGATTGCTGTCTGTGACGGTGGGGAGGCCCTGGCACAGGTTGCCCAGAGAAGCTGTGGCT